ATAGTTTAAGAGTTAGATTGTTTCAATATGCTCTAACCTTGTACTGTAGAAAGTGTTACCCTGTGACTGCAGCACAGTGCTGTGGGACTGCTATTTGTCAGGACAAAGCAAAGACTGTTTCCTTTGTCCACATCTATATACCGTGCTTTGCACCTTTAATATCATTCAAATTCAGCTTTAATTTCTGCTACATGTAGAGTAAAACTGACTTTGCTTCTGCAGCCCCAAATCTCAGCAAGGCCCAGTGACGCACTGGAAAGACCAACGTCTGTGTCACCTGTTTTGGTGGATGTTCGAAGGCATTTCATTGTCGCAGGGCCCCTCTTGTGGACCTGTGTCAGTGGTTTTATCTCTTTTTTGGGTTTTTTGCTTTAATGTGCTCAGTCTGTCTTAACAGCAAACAGTTTGATGCTTGGCAATACTGTAGTAGGTAGGCACCAAAGAAATAAAACTTATGATGATGATGTTGAGTTCCAGTAACCGGAGCGGTCTTCAAGATATCTTGCCGCAGTTGCCAGTGTGGTTTCAACTGAAAAAAGTTTTGATTTATTGTTGCACTATTAACTCTTGTCTATTACATGGTGTGTGCAGCATGTATTTCAGCAATGTGCCAAATTCAAACTGATAACAATAATAGTGAAAGAAGATCAGCCTCAAATTTAAATGTGGTGAAAGAGCTCTTTGGTTTACTGGCAGTGACAATCAAAGAAAAAAAAAAAAAAACAGGCTCCTTTTAGTTCAACAGGACGAAGGTAAATCACAGCTAACACTCGTTCCTTCATTGCTTTTCTCAAGTGACCATATGCGTGCCTTTAACTTCATGGCTGGATTGAGTACAGTGTCCTGCTTACAGCCAGGGTGCACAGGTGACTGCTGCTTTACCTCCTCCGACCAGTAACCCTGCTTCTACCCCAGCAAAGGCCTGTTTTCATCTGCAGGGCTCCCTGTAACTCACCCACATGCAAATGCGTCTGACCTTAATTAAAGCAGTTCACCTCTCTCTGCCTCAAGGGATGGTTTCCTCATAAGGCAGTTGTGTTTAATTAGCATTTGCATAGCATTCTGCTGGTTGCTTTCTGGGAGCGTTGTTGTTCGGTAGGAGCGTGGGATTGCTGAAGCCTGACTGGCAAGCTTTGCACCCTCCTAATTGACACAGAAGCCAAGTAGAAGTTACACAAGGAAAGAACAGAGAATCGTTAATGTTGGATCATTAGCAAGTAACTGCTTTGAATGAACGTAGATAACTTTAGAACTCTATCAAAGTGAAAAGTAGCATGATGAATGATGCATCAAACAATAAAAGCTCAAGGAAGACACTGGGTTTCTAATTGCTGTGCAATTTTCTAGCATGGTCTAGTTTGTAAGATTAATTTCTTTGAGAAGTGTGAAGCATTCTATGCCTGTTGTACACTTAATGTCAATTTTGTTTTTCTCTCATTAGGGGTTTTATTCTGTGTCTTTTGACAGGGTTTGAGATATGCTATTTTTATGCTAGCAAAAATTTGCACAAGCAAGTGAAAAGTGTGTAGCTACCAAATTAGTTCCTTTGAGACTTCACTGATTTCTCAGTGTAAAGAGGGTAAAGAGTTCTCAGATACAACTGAAGTAAGATTGCTTTAATTATATATATTATTATATTTTTTTAATAGAAATTGGCTAATAGTTTTTTGGCTGTGTTGAATTTCTAAACTAATAAATCTCAAAGGGGTATTTTTGCTTTGAAATTGTCTTCAGAAGCATTTCAGTTGGCACAGATGGATCATTCCTGTGGCTTGCACTAGTGCCAGTTCAGCCCTCAGTCAGTCCTAGGAAGAGGAATTAATAAAAATATTGCTTAGTGATGTCACCTGTCCCTTTAAAATGTACTGATCTCTCACTTGAGATTTCTTCTGAAAATTAATTGAGTATGTTCAAAGTGAGTAGAATTAGGGGAACAAGTTAATAGAAGAGTTATCCCTTGTGTGAGCTGTTTCTTAGCTTTCATGAATATTAGTGGGTGGAAGGGACTGTGAGAGATCATCTAATCCATCAGCAAACCCCAGGGATCAGTCATAGGGTCAGCTGTGCCAGAGTAATTTTGTTTCTAAAGACCTGATTGAAAGGAATTCTGCAGCCTCCTCACATGGCCTGTTTCAGCATTTTACTCCCCCTACCATTAGAAAAGTTTATTTTCTGGTACCTAACTTCAGTTTCCTTTGTTGCAATTTAAATCAATTATTTATCATTCGTCATAGACATGAAAAAGGATTTACTTCCTCCTTGTGGAAAGGTCACAGGGTTTTTTTTGGGGGGTGAGGGTTTTTTATTGTTGTTGATTTTTTTTTTACGTTTTTTGAAGGCAGTTTTGAAGTTTCTCTTTAGGCCCACAATCCCACTTTGTTCAGTCTGTCATGTTTTATCTGATCATTTTGGTTGCTGTCCTGTAGAACCTCATCAGGTGTTCCAGATGGCTGTGCAGTGGGGGCCCCACACCAGGCACTGCTCCAGCTGTGACCTGCCAGCTCTAAGTGGAGCAAAAAGATTATTTCATGTATCCTGCAGGCTTCTCTCTTTTTTGTACATCCCTGTATGATGCTTGGCTTTTTCGCAACAGCATGATGTCATGGACTCATCTTCACTTTGTGATCTAGAATAACCCCTAGCTATTCCTACCTTGCTATTTGTCCCCTGCCCTGTAATTACAGAATTAAATGTAGTTTCTTCCTCTTCACATTATTGAATTTCACCCTGTTTTATCAGGCCGGTTCTCCAGCATAGCCAGGTCATTGTGAAATCTGCTTCATGGTCAGTTTTAGCTTGAATTCCTCAGAAACCTGAGCAGGTACAATCTGAGTTCCATCAGCTGACCCACTAAAAGTATACCAATTAGTGCTTCATCCTGAACAGATTCCTCTGGAGCTCACTTGAAATGTTCTGTTTCACAAAATCCCACATAGCAATTCTCAGAATAAGATTTCCTTCTCAGTATCGCACTTGGCTTTGGATTTACCTAGACCATGTTTCTTTAGTGAGTTTGTGGAAAGTAGCAGAGAATTTTCTTTCTGAAACTCAAATCTTGATCCGGCATCATAGTGGTCAGAGGGTCATCTCACCTGACTTTAGATGTCTGGCTGGTAGGGGTCTGCATCTAAGGTACTTGTCTACCTTCTTCTTTGTGGAGAAACATAGGTGATCACAATTCATCTGGCCGGTTTAGTCATTTACCAGTGTCTTAGAAGAATTACACTGTAAGTGTGTCTTTTCACCTGCAGTGACTCCAAAGGGAATTTAAGCAACTAAATATCTATATGTAGGCTATTGGCATCTAAAGTTAAATGGGATGTATCTCACCTCCAGCCCTTCTTCTGCTAGAAAGACAAGAGATCAAGCGTACACTATTTGTACTTAATAGATCCATGGTGGCTGTTGCTTATCTCCTGAGTACTGTCAGTGTGATTATTTGTTCCAGTATTTAATGGAACTTGAAGTTAAATGATTTGGTGTGCAATTCCCCAGTTCTACCTCCTTTCCTTTTAAAACATAGGAACCATACCTGACCTCTTCCAGGAGCATACTCATCAGGACCATGTCAAATCAGCTAGAAAAAAAATGTTTTTCTAAGCACCCTTTATTTTATTTTGTCCTGCCAGGAGGTGTATACCTTTACCATATTAACCATTTGATCACAGCTGGTGAAGATTGTTGAAAAAAAGGGCATATTTTGGCATGCTGCATGACCTTTGTCAGCGTCTCTCCTCAAAAAAGTAGTAACTCGAGTAGTGAACTTGCCTACTCGTACCCTTATAGGATGACTTCTTGCTGTGCTTCATTTCTTGTGCTGGTTGACATCGTATTTATTCAGAAATAAGTCAAACACTGTTCTGCCTGTGTATTTCTTTGTGTTTCTGGGTAAAGCTGTAGTGTCATAGGCAAAGGCATAACTACGTATAACTTCTTCTGTAAATTATTTTTTATCGTATAATAAAGGCCATAACTAAAAATAGAGAAATCTTTTTGCCAGTTGTCCAAAGCACCAAAGGTGGTTGCATTTTGTATTAAAGTTTTCAACTGACAATTTGGGAAATTATTGTCCTCTGTTTCTCTGCAAAACATTTAGTCTTTCTATGCATACGCTGAGTGTATACCTCAGTTTTGATCCTAGAGTACATCTGTAGCCCATTCTGTCTTTTGAGTGTTAGCTCATTGTCTTCAGGGTTCTGCACTGAAATCTGTTCAGTTCACTACAGAGGATTGCTAAAACGTGAGATCTGACTATCTGCAATAGACAGAAAAGTCTTCACGTCATTGCTATCTTCCCTAAGTGATTTCCACCGTTGAAATTATTCTTGCCAGAGTAAATAAACCATTGTTGAGTTTTTTATGGCTGCTGCTACGTATGTTTTTGATAGAAAACATAAAATAAGCGGGGAATATCTTTGCTGTGTGTGATGTCAGTTCTACATCACCGCAGGTTAATGGAGCACTCTGCAGAGGTACTTGAGCTGTTGCTAACTGGTGACGGTGCTTCCCGTCGTCCGGTGCACTACTCCGACATCAGTAACAGTGTGTTAACATGATATTTCATTGCATTCTTATGGTTGTGCTCCCTCCTGTCGTAGTCAGAGCGCAGGGATTTCTGCACCACGTCACGTTGTGTGGGCTGGGCATTGCCTGGGCATTGTGGTTTACCTGACAGAGAGTGGTAGACTTGTGACGTAGTGTGACTCGGAGCACCCTGATATTCATACCACTGGGAACAAGGGGAAGACTTTCATGACGTTGGGCGAATGTTCAGAAATTCTGCACTTGGGTGAATTACTTAAAACTGGTTTATTGATGCATTATTGTGAACTGGAATTTTTTTAGTCTGTAATTCAAGAACATAACATTTCTATGATAAGGACTGTGATAAGACTGCCATGAAAATGACATAGTTTCCTTTAAACAAATATAGATGCTTCAATATAAATATGGGCAGTAACTTTGGAAAATTATTTCCCTCCTGTCTGCTTTTTTTACAGGACCAGGTGTCAGATACAGTGAATTTGCTATATCACATCCCAAACCACCTCCACTTGTTGGACAGCATACAATGGAGATACTGAAGGGCTTGCTGGGGTACCAGGATGATGCCATAGAAGAACTGCTCCGCACTGGTGCTGTGGCTCAGCATGAGGTCAGATAAGGAACATTAGCTGCATTCCTTCACACTGAGTTCACGTTACTTTGTCCTCTCTTTGCTCCCTTCAGCTCCCCTAATGGGACTCAAAGAGAAGACATAATTTAATTCCTAATTTTCTTCCATGTCTGTTTGTATGATTTTAACACTGATGTATCAAATAAACAATCTCATGCTGTCTGAGTGAAAGGTTTTCTTGGGGGAGGTGGGGGGGAGTAAGGTAAAATGTAATTATACAGTCCTGTGTGGCTACTCATTTTCTGTACTTCATATGGGAAATGGAGTTCTTATCATGATTACAGTAATTGCCTTAATGTTTGTCCCCAGAAAGACATAATGTTAGTGAAAAGAGGCAGAACCTTAAGAGTCTGTATACTAGACTCTCCACTTGCAGAAAGCTGCCTTTTATAATTATTTTAGTAGAAAATCAATTATGTACAAATTGGTGGTTGAACTGATTGATTTTGAACAGAATCATCAGTCATGAATTCTTTGTTCATCTCTATTTTAAATCATGGGTAGAGTAACCATTGCAAGACTCACTTCTGTTCCCTGGTATTCCCAATTACCAGTATGTCTTTATATTACATTGCATGGTCATGACAATCCCAGCATGTTAGCAGAAATAAGCTGGAATTGGCACGGTTCTTCAGTTATGAAACAAGCCCATTCCAAGACCGCTTGAGAGACAAGCTAGGACTGAATAGTCTTTTGTAATTTTATTCAGAAAGGCCCAGGGTACTGTTAATCAAACATCAATCCACACAAAACCACATGCTGAATGTCAAATACCAGAACTTGCCAGACTCTCAATCTGGTTCTGGGGGTAGGTGCTGATCGCTATCTCTGACTGTAGTTGCCATCCAGAGCACCTTTCACTATGGAGAAAAGCCAGGTTAAAATCTGTGTGAAACTTTTGACTCGGTCCCACTCGCATGGTTCAAACATGCTGAGAGCTGACAGACCTTCCTCAAATGTAATAATACCACATTGTGCAGCAGGGTGGCTCTTAGGAGTGAGGCACCATGCATTGCACGAAGGTGGAAGAATTGGATCCGTGACAAATAGTAAGGAAAAGATTAAAGAAGAGCCATTTCTTCTCTACAAACCAATCTGGCAGTACTTCACTCACAGAAGACACGCCATGCTCCCCTATCGCAGTGTATAATTTACAGCTAAAGTAAACTCAGCGAAGGGGAAGGGTCTAACCTTTGTTGTGTGCACCCGGGGAGCGAGGCAAAGCCTTTCTGTTCCTAGAACTGAACAAAACTAACTCAAGTCGACACTCAACATACAACGTCCGTGTTTCTCCCAAAGTATCGGAAACAGGCCCGGTGTCATAACTAGCTTGTCACTTTGTTTCCACTCTAACAAACAACATCTTCTGTATTACATTTGAACTTCACAACTCTGCATTACCTTCTCAGGGAAGAAAAGAGGTTATTACATAATCAAATTGCAGTGGAACCCCACTGTGATTGCTCATTTTTGAAGCCCAGTGTGTTTTGGTTCATTTATTTGCTTGTTTTCTCCACATATTTGTGTTCTTTTTTTCAGATCTTCTCCTTTTTTTTTTTTTTCCTTGCACTGCGTTCCTGGCACCAAACTCCGTACTCCGTCCATGTGCTAAAGACATCATGAGATCCTGGAAGAGTGGCTTCTTAAATAAATATAGAAATAAGTCTGAATTGAGAATAGGGGCACCATAGGGGAAGAGTTGAAACTGGATTGGAAGAGGTTTTCATATAGTCCACCTTCCTTTTAATCTAAGGGGAACATCCCATTTTTAATGAGAAAAGCAGCAATTTGAATTCAGCTTCACATAAGATGGATAATCTGGTGTTGAACTGAACATTGTTTACTAATGAAAACTATTTAGCACTGTCAGATAACATTCACAAGTAAATTTGCTGGTTTTACTTTATTAAGGGCTCTTCTCTTCCCATTTCTAAGAATCGCATACATAAAATATAGAGAAATATTGCTCAGTTTTGTTCAAGGGTTTCTAAAAAATTCTTTTTTTCTGTGCTTTTCCAAGCAATGGAAACAGTGAGTCTTTGACTTCAACATAACAATGCTAGTTCAAATTGGCTGAATATCAGCTATTAACTCCATAATGTATTTTGTGCAGAGTTCACACGCAAACAGTGTTTCCCTTTCCTTTTCTTTTTTTTTTGTGTTTTCCTCTCTGTTATTTTGACAGTCAAATGCCTAAAGGGATAATCAGTGACATTATTGTGTCTCACCTCCAGTATTTACTGCAATAGGAGAAATCCAGATACCATTTCTCAGTGTTTAAGTCATATACTCACACACAGACTAACTCTTCTTCAAGTCAGAAATAAATGTGAGTCTTTAAATAGGTAGGTGTCTGGGAGCCTAAAAAGTCCTGTAGCTTCGGAGGTCTGATCATGAAGTTTTGCCCTGCCACAAGGTTTGGTCCTTTGACTTTGGATGGTGTGGAGGACAGTTAGATGATTGTCATGATAATATCTAAGCTGTTATAGCACCCTTTTCCTTTTAAAATGAACAAATAAATGCAGAAAAAGAGTATTTACAAAATTTACTGCACTCTTCCCAGGAATCTTCATGAATACGTGTCTCTAGAGCTCAATTGCGTTTTGATAATCTTGTAATTTCAAAATGGTTTTCTCTTGTACAGCAAAACTGGAAATCAACCGTCACATGGGATTCTGGACCTCATAAACTGAGATCCCTCCAGTTTCAAGCAAGGGATGTAGTTAGGGATGACTATACACAGCTGCCTCTGGCGATGAATGTTCTTTTTTTTGTCTGCTTAGATTGGAAATGAATCTGCTGGTGCTGCTGTGATGTGAGTATGTGTGGTATTGGTTTTAATTTCACTTGATTTACACATCACTGTATTAAAAAAAAAAAAAGAGAGAGAGAGATAGAGGACACACCTTTGGTCTGGCTCAAAACTGAACCCACCTATAGCTGTTTGCCACGATGCTATAACTACCATCGGGAAGGAAGATTTCCATTCTGGCATCTGTTCTGACTCCATGGTCCATGGCCCTTTTGGCTCCATTCTCTGTGTTGGGGGATTCCATTGTTCTTGTATTATCTTAACCATGAAAAATGTTTCCTCAGCCCCCCCATCGTATAACTGTCTTCCTTTCTTTTCCGTGCAAGGTAGTAAAGCTCTTCACCAGGTATAAATCACCCAGAAAACTGCAAAATTGGTGGAGTCAGGCTGGTTTTGCATAAGCCTGAGGATCTTGCTGAGGGATATTTTAATGCATCAAAAGAAAATTCCAATCAAACAATGGGCAAATAGATAATAATGGATTTTTCTTGCTTCTATGTAGATCTTCCTGGTATCTTTACCCCAGGATCTTCCCACACACTTGGGAAGTCTCTGCACGGTTGTTTGCAATAGGTGCCCTAGAACTGACCTTCAAAAGTAGATCTTTTTGGGTTAGTGGCCAGGAGGAAGCAGTTACCCACCAGCAGAAGCCCACCAGCCTGGGCAGCTGTTCAGCCTATGTGCAAAGGCCAGTGAAACCATATTTACGCAGATTGATCTCTTGAAAGAGATCACTTAATTGTGCTGGAAGGCAAATGCTCCTTTTCTTCTTAGGTTTATAAAATCAAAATCAACAGAAAAAAATGTTTTGTCATTTTCTTTTTTAATATAAAATCAAGCAGAGAAAGGGAAATATCTCCATTCTTGTCTTACATACAGAATAGAAAGGTCCTCTTTTTTTAAGTTATTGAAATAGAAGCTTTTGATGCCTGCTGACATTAATCAATGTTTTGGGCTTGCTTCTTCAAAGATCAAAGCTCAGCCCAAAGATGTCTAATAACAATGTGCTGAGGCTAAAGTAACAGTCAGAATAACTCTTCCAGTGAGCATGTGTGCATATTCAATAACTGGAGAGAGCATTTTCATTAAATTGTCATCCAGCTCTGCCACTCACAGAGCACAGTAAATCCTCAGCCTGGTGAACCCAGAGTTAAAAGGCAGCGAGGCATCTCTATGACTAAAATGCTCATAATGTCTTTTAATATCTAAATGACAAGACATAGTTAATCCTTTGACCTTCCTAACTTTATAGCACTGTATTAAAATGTATTTATTTCCCCAAAATGTATTAAAATGTATTCAATTGCCAAAAGACAGAGAAAAGGTAAAGTACTTTCAGAGTTCAGGAATGCTGGCACAGCTCCTCATGTTTCATGTCAGTGACATTAAACAGTGCCAGATACGGTACTTTTCTTAACTGCTTGTACATGGAGTTTAATGTGGCCTGGTGAAATGCTAAACACTATTAGCTGGTGAAAAAAAAACCCCAACCAACCTTAGAGCAGTACCTGCAGGATCAAGTAACCTCCCTGCACAGAGGGCTGGGCGATACTGGCCAATGTGATAAAAACACGCTGATAAACAGTGATATAGTCACCTTTTTAAAGCTGACAACTAATCAATTCAATTACTGTATGTTTCTGTTGTGACTGGAATTTGGATCAGACGTGTGAGAAAAATGCCTGGGCTCACAGATGCCAAGGGCCCATGAAACTTTTGCAAGAAGATCTCTTTTTTTGGCACAGGTTGTGTCAGGCATTGAAGGGGGGCCAAGCCAGGGTTGAGGTGGGGACAAGTTGTTAATTTTTAGGGTTTTTTTAGGTTCTCCAGAGCTACAGATAAAAGTGAATTAGCAAGCACCGATTAGCCCTTAGTTAACAAGAAATTTTTGAAAATCATAGGGTAAAAGGGTATGTTAAACTGCCTGCCTTAAAAGGCCTTCAGGATAGTCTAATTTACAGCGAGCAGTGTCGCACTGCCTGTTTACAAGGTACTCAGGAAAGCGGGCTGGGAAAGAGCCCGCTTTACTGCAATTGCTTCTGTGCTTCAGCGATTTCGCTATTTTTCTGTCTAATAACTACCCCAAACTGGCCAGAAGAGCTTTAAAATACAAGAAGGAATTTGAAGCTGTGTAACCTGTAGAGCAATGCATATGTAGCTCTCATGTCTCGCAGAT